AAAAGGGCCGAGAATAACGATTGTTAGTAATTCACAAGCCTCATTCTTGGATTAAGACAAATTTCAGTTTCATGCTTGAACCAACTACTTTTGTACAAGTTCATCACACCTATATGGGGAGTGTATGCAAAAGCTTTAAAACAAGTAAATATATAAATATAAATAACAGAAGTCCTTGCTTAGGGTAGAAAATGACTGTGCCTTTCTGTTTACTTGCTGAGGATTGCATTTTTTATATTTTCCCCAGTTGCAAAAACACTCCCTCATTCCCAAACTTCATTACAGGTTTAGCAAACTAAGCCAATAATAATTGGCCGAAAGGCATACAGGTAAATGACATTCTACAGCAGGTAAATATATTTAATTTGTGGTCCAAACCATCTTCTTTAACTCAAAACTTGATACTAAACCTAAATATTAACAATTTATTGATTGAAAAAGGATATGGATTTCGCCATTGGAAGTGAAAACTTTCAAGTCAAGTAAATTTCAACCGCATAAGTTTTAGCCAAAATTTAGTAATTAGGTACAAATTGACTCTTACATTGCAAACCAACCAATTAATCTAATTTTGAAAGCAGAACAGCAAACTTCTTACCAGTTTATACAAAGGAATTTTCATAAAGGGTATCAGCATACAAACAAAAGATCCCATTTTCCCCAATTGCATGAATAAATCAGAAGGCACAAATAAATATGACAGAAACATCATAATCAAGCCACTATCACAAGACAATCAGAACTAGTGCTAGTACTACCAGAAAACATATTTAATTGACAACACAAATAAATGCTACATAGATCAACAAAAAAAATTGAAAACCCCAAAACCCGTCAAACACGGAGAATACACAATAAAGAAAAAAAAAAAAATCAATCTTTGAACAAAAATAACAAAAACAGGTAACCCAGAATGCCACTCACAGATCATGCAAAATCCAAGAAACTCTGTCTGGATTTTTTGTTGTCCTAAAAATGTGAAAGTAGACGAGGGTTCACTTGCAGCAGCGTTTGAATGTAGAGAGAGAAAAACCCCAAATGTATGAATTCAGGGTCCCATAGAAAGAAGGTAGAAGGGAAAAGGAAATAATACTATTATTACTATACATGTCTGCTAGTCTGCTTTTTAAAAAGCTAGAAAAAAAGGAAAGGACATAAAAAGGTGGCCCCTGTTTCTCAAGAAAACGCAAATAAGCAGTTCAAATACATTATACAGTATTTACACCACTTCTATGTATACAACAAAACTATGAATCTAATTGGTGTTTATTTACAAAACATCAATGTGAGACTGAGAACTTTGGCCTACCATTGCACTTTACTTTCACCAGTCACCAAGAACAGAACTTGATTTATTTTTTTATACAGTATCTTTTATAATATGAAGTCAGTGTTTAAGTATTGTGTGAGCTGTTTTCATCTTCTTGCTTGGTCGCCAATTGAGGCGGGGATGGAAATGAGTGCCAAGACATAAATGCAAAACCCGTGAAAACTGTACCAACATTCTGAAGTAATAGTTTGAAATTTGTGCATATATAATTAACTTAGAATTTAAAATATCACATAATAGTAGTATTTGAAATGGGTAATAATTCTGACACCATGGTCTTGAAGTGAATTTTTTTTAATGAGAAAGCCGGAAAGGAATTTATTTGAAAAAATTCCAATTACAAAATGAGCAGCATAAATTAAAAGGTTGTTTTGCGCAGAAGGCTTTGTTTTTTTCAAAGAAAAAGTAACTGTGATTTGACATATAGAATGACCAATTATTTAGGGAATTTAAAAGTCCAATTCAAATCTTAAAAATAATAATCCTCGCAATCTAAATGAGATTATTAATTTAGTATTTAATACATGAGATTCTGGTTGAATTCTGAGTTATCTATGATCACTGATCTATCTATCAATTTTAAAAGGTGTCGTTATTTCCATACTCGGGCTAAGCCCAAAATACTGTCAAGAATTTTGGGCTTAGACCAACAAGATCTTTGGTAATTTCCAGCCCAAATACTTCTGTATCTTGATTCAGAATTATGTCTTCAACATATCTTATTTTTCTCTCTCCCACAGACACAGCTCCACTGTGAGAGTATTGTAGCAGAGGTTTCTATGGCGACAGTGCCGTCGAAGCAAATCCTCCCACTGCTTTTCTTCATTATCATCCTCTCTCTTTCCTGTCTCATTCTATTTTCTCTCACTTCAAGCCCGAAGGCCCAAATCCAGACCCGATTCCACCAAATCCCCGGCCCAAACCCTGGCCCGAACTTCACATTCATCATCAAAGTCCTCACCTTCAACCGGCTCTCATCTCTCTCCCGGTGTCTCAACTCTCTCTCTAAGGCCCGCTACGATGTCGGCGACAAAGTTCATCTCCACATATTCATCGACCATTTCCAGCTAGATCCCCAAAGAAATGGCTCTGCAGATTTGGACCAGAGGCTGAAACTCTCCAAGCAGATCGTTGATTTTGTCGATGGCTTTGGTTGGGAATTCGGGGAGAAGTTGGTACACTATCGGACTTCCAATGCCGGGCTTCAGGCCCAGTGGCTTGAGGCGTGGTGGCCCGCCTCGGATCATGAGTTTGCTTTTGTCGTTGAGGATGATCTGGAGGTTTCTCCTCTCTATTATAGGTTTATTTTTTGTCTTTCTGAACCTTATGGTTTGTTTATGGGGGTTATGACACCGTTTTGAGCCATTGGTTTGATTGCGCTTCAGTTAATATAAGATTGTTTTCACTATTTTGCTAAATCTGGTGAGATGTAGAATAGAGTTGCAAACTCTTACCATTTGATGCCACTCTTTTCTTTGATTACGTTTTTGATAATCTGGTCCAGTGCTATGCGTAAAGTTATTACATTACATCAAAAATTCGTCTTGCTCATATATTTCATGTTAAGTTAGTTAAAAATGGATCCCCATTTTCGCTTTCAGTCTCATTTTTGTGGATATCTGTGGTCAAGTTTTAGCTTGTTTCTTCAATTGAATTATTGATCTTTGGTGAACCAATGATGGCTATTATGCCTTACAACTTGTGTTATTCTTTTTAATTGCCCCCATTATTCATGTACTCCATGTTTCTGATTGTTTTTTTATAATTGTACAATATATTGCTTGAGATGGAACATGAGTAATAACTTTTACATTTGTCTCTTTTGGTAGGTTCCTGAAAGCTGTGATATTGAATTATTACTATAATGCATCAAATTTTAGTCCTTCCATATATGGAGCGTCATTGCAAAGGCCTAGATTTGTGCCAGGTATGTATTCTTTTTCTGTTTTTATATGGTGTGGGTTTCATATGGCTTCTTTGATATACTTTTGGTTTTTCCATCAGAATATGTCTGGATATAAAAGTTTTGGATGATAATGTTTTATCTTGTTTCTAGGATTATGCTCAATCGCATGCAATTTGTAGAGCAGTTGATATGTATGATACATTCATAGATTGCTTTAATAGAAAATAGCTAGATCAGCTGTATGCTGAATTGGAGATGATTCCAAATTTACCTGTAAAGTTTAGTGTTTTGTGCTAACTGGTAAAAAGACTGTATGGCATACAATGGAGGGGAGTGCTACGAAGATAAATGAATACATTCAAACTATCTGCTCCGCATGATACAAGTCCTAACCAGTTAATCTAGTCACAGAGACTCTGTCTTGATTATTTTATTCATTTATTGCATGTGTAGAGGACTTTAACATGTTCATCCATAAATTTAAGTTCCATGGTCATGCCACTAGATGGATTTTGAAATTCGTGGCTATTTATGCTTTAAATTTCAACCAAGTGATTACATTGGTTTCTGTGGACAGGTAAACATGGAAACAAGATGCACTTGGATGGTGAAGCTCGGATTTTTTTATACCAGCTAGTTGGCACCTGGGGCCAGCTTCTCTTTCCAAGACCCTGGAAAGAGTTTCGTCTGTGGTATGACACACATAAAGCTAAAGGCATGAGGCCTGTCTTGGATGGAATGGTATGTTTATAAAAAACTACTATACGTCTCTTACTTTATTTGTTCCTAAATTGACAATGAGTCCACTCCCAGTTTTTTATTTTATTTTATTTTTCTCTAGGAGCTGTTGGGAATATACTGGGTATATTGTTGTTGTTGTTGTTGTATTTTTCTCTAGGAGCTATAGTTCAGTCTAACTACAAAAACATATCCGTTTGCATATAAAAATCACAACCACTCCCTTTAAGTCAAACAAACATTTCATTGAGTTTTGTTGCTATTTTGGGTATTTAGGCTAAAAAACAACATGAATAATTTTTGGAACAAATCCCTTTCTTCTTTTGACCTTATTTACTTCAATATTTTTAGGTGACAACTGGATGGTACAAAAAGATGGGTGAAAAAATCTGGACCCCCTGGTTTATTAAGTTCATCCATTCTCATGGGTACTTCAATATCTATACTAATTTTCTTCACGAGAGGGCTCTTAGCATCTCTCATAGGGACGCTGGTGTAAATTATGGGAAAACAGCAGGGCCAGATTCGTACTTACTGAATGAAAACTCAATTGATTTCAACTTAGTGGAAACTTACCCTCTCAACAGTCTCAAGTGGTACGACTTTTGTTTTAGGCAAGTACTGACCAATAGAATCGTGAGGAGCTTGAATGACTTTGAGTCCATCATTCCATCTGTGCAGAAAAGTAACTCTGTGATACTGTTGAGTGTTTACAGAAAGCCGGAAATGATTATAAGGAATATTCTCTGCCACTTTGAGAAGCTGAATATACAGAACTATATCCTAATCGGCCCAACTTCTGATTTTCTTTACGATGTTGCTAGAAGGGGAAATCCAGTTATCGATGCAAGCGAGTTTTCTGACTTCAGTAAACTTGCCAAGTCCATTAATTTTCAAGATTCTACTTTGGAGCTGATCAAAGAGATTTTAGTTAAGGCATATGCTACGAAAAAGAGTCTCGAACTAGGTTATGATACATGGTTGCTAGATGCAAACACAATTCCTATAAGTGGCAACTCATTTCTCGATTCCTTTGACCGTTCAAGTTTTCTTTATCTTGGGAAGAGTACTAGACTTCTATTTTTCAGGGGCTCATCGTCTACGATTTGGACCGACAATTTCGTGTACAATATTGTTTCACTAGTGGACCCACTAATTAAAGATTCGGTTTCTCTTGACTCGATTATTTTCCATGCGGTTGAGAAATTACTAGAGAAGCAGAATGTGAAATTTAGCAATGTCGATGATATGCAGCTTGCTTTGGATATCAGCGTCGTCCGTCCTAACTTAACTTTTGTTGAGATGAAAAGTAAATTTATTTTCTGGTCCTCCGAAGAAGAGTTGGATAAACTGCGAGGGAAACTTGTAGATTTAGACATGTGGGTTGTGGACAGTGATTTTTCATGTACTGGTGTTTTCTGTCACCAGTCATAGAGTTAGATATCGATGTTCATCTGCATTGGGGTTGATATTCATGGAATATTTGAATATTTTATGAATGAATTGGCATCAATAGTGCACGGCTTTGTTGCGTAGACTGACTATGAAAGCATGCCAGGTGGAAGATGGGCAGTGAGATTAGTTTTCGAGTAGTGTTAATGTCGGTGATTGTTGAAGTTCATTTTCTATGGATAAACATTGGTGTTAAAGAGGCCACAGTTAATGAAGGTGGTCTGAAAAGTTGGTGAGCTGAGATTGCTTTCTTTTTAAAGGGCCTCATATCATTTTTATGGTTTGTTCTGGGACATAAGTCATGACTTCATGAGGTGGTTTGGTTCCTTGGACTTTTTCACTGAATCAACTTTCACTAACAAGATTATATGGCAGCTGATTACATGAAAGCTTTTTGTAGTGCATTAGTTGAAGATTGTTCGAAGCCACCATAGCGTTTGAGTTGGCATCGGCATTCTTTTTGAGTGTCGGTTGTAACGTGAATCTTAGTTTATTGATAATTTTTTTGTTGTGTTTAACATAAGTTTTTTTGGTTATATAACTTGTAATTGTTTGCGAATTTAATTATTTCGTGAATCTTAATTTATTGATAATTTTTTTTGTTGTGTTTAACATAAGTTTATTTGGTGTTTTTCTTTGTTTCTTTTATCCGACTCAATGCGCTTCTAGCACCTTAAGCAATCACTTCAACATAGAATTAAAGTCGCCCCCAGAGAAATGAAAAGAATGAAATACTAGGGATTGAGTGAAATTTTCATGCCTCAACAATACACAATATTCTATCAGGTCATCTAAATTCTAATATTCCTTGTTTTTTGTGTTCTCAGATATAGTTGTCACTGTTACATGACATCAGAAAGCATTATGTATAATTTTGTTTTATGTTTGTGTATATTTTTCATCAATTACACTAGAACATGACAACACCATCATCAAATGCTAGAATTGAAGGAACATTATGTATAATTTTGTTTCATGCTTGTATATATTTTTCATCAATTACACTAGAACATGACTAACACTATCATCAAATGCTAGAATTGAAGGGAAAAATGTTGCATCGCTGCTGGTCGTGAAACGAACATTCCAGGCTACAAAGCAGGTCGGCACGTTAAGTGTAAACTTTAAAATCTTTCAAAAGGAACAAAAGATAAAAAATACGAATCCGTTATCGCATTTTTGCTCTAGCGAACAGCACTCCTGCTAATAATCCTACAATAAGAACACACAGTTTAGCTGGTTGATGTCTCTATACATGGGATTATATGATAAATATAGCGCAATTATGTAAACTTACCAAAAAATATACTTGCCGAATTTTCCAAGCTTGTCGGGACATTGAAAAGAAGGATCCCAGCAACAGAAAGAGGTACTTTGTTTAGTGACCCCANATCATTATGAAAAAAACAAATATCAAGAGTGATTAAAGAAGCCATTAATCAATTTCCCGGTTCTAAGCGAATGCCTAGTGCGTACAAACAGTTGAGACAAGAACTGGTCAATTTTGATCTTTATTTTAATTTTACTTCCCAAATGTCAGCGCTTCAGATTTCTTATTTAGCTTCTAGCTAGAGATAATCACACGCAAATAAAACATTCTTCCAACTTGATTAGCATTAATCTCTTTTAGGCTCATCAAATTAAACCTTTGGCTTCCATCGCAAACACAACATATATCTGAAATCTGACTAAAAGATAATAAAGCAATCTCTCTAAAAGCAGAAGTCTTGCAAAACCAATCAATCAATTAATAACAAGTCCTAAACCATGCTAATAGCAAATCAAATATTCGAACATGATGCCTTTTGGTGCCGCAAGAAAACAGACAGAAAGTAGCAAAAAGTTGTTACCTGTAAGTAGTAGCTCCAGTTTGATGGAGGAACCACATGGAAGTGAAGCTGATTGCTAAACCCAATAGCCCGCTAAAGGTCATAACCAGCCAGAAAGACGGCATTCTCAAGAGTGGCCTGCCATTTCAAAACAAGAACAATCCAAATAAAATAAAATAAAATAAAGGTATACAGGAATTTACAAATATTTTGCAAATACTTCACTTTGAAACAAGTATAGAAAAAAAAAAAATCCTTTTTTTGTCTCGTTACAACGAGGCTGTCGACGAGCTTATTATTTTACAAAAAGTTTTATTTATTTGTTAACTTTCCTTTTTGTCATGACTCGTGAAAAAAGAAAGCTTCAATATATATTATATCTATTTGTGTTAGAAAATAGGATTAGGATTAAATCAACCAAACTAATGTTACTACGAGACATGGAAGGTATCGGTTTACAAATTACAGCTTACATACGTTTGTGAAAGATAGTCAACCTCATTGAACACAAACAGGAGAATAACTCCAAGAGGCAGTGAGAGGCTATTGTTTAGCATGACCATTGAGAACTCGTTCGACTCTCCAGATTTAGTGACTTGTTTGGCAGTGTCCATTACCCGACGCAAAGTCAACTGACAGAGACAAAGACTTAATATAAGAAATTATAGCGATGCCTGCATGGATAACTGCTTAGCATGGTTAAGCAATATTGAATAATCTTCAACAGTTGAAAAAAATTCAAGAACTGAATAAATTACTTACAGAATATGATGCTGTCAAAAAACAATTGATAAATTGCCATGTGTATCCAACAGCATGAAATGAAAGATCTGTGAACCCTCCTGATATTGCTGAAATAATCTGCATCGCGTGAGCATGTTAATTAAGAGGAGATTTAATTGAATACGAACTCATTAACTTGAAAAATAATGGCAAACAGATATCACTTAAAATTCAAGTAATGATCATCATAGAATCTAAATAGTTTGTGCTTGGTGTACGGTGAGTTCCAATGACCAACCATACGTTCAGTTAACAGTTGATGATACTATAATGTAAACTTCAATCAAGCGNACGCAAAATGGGTTAATAGACTATACGAAACTTAGCACAGACGAAACTGGTATAAAGATTCAAACGAATATGTTGAAACAAAATAAGGTGCCACCAACAGAAACGTAACTACTCTGATCGAATAAATTCACAACAACATACCATTAAGAAAAGGGCTGCCCAAACTCTATTATCATGGTGCTTGTTGAATAAATACATTTCGCCAACAGCTGTCATCACATTGGTTACATTCTTGAGAACCGTAACCATGGCAACATTAATGTATTTCAAACTGCAATACAAGGAAAGAGTTTACAGAAACCTACAGTCAAGAATGAGCCACGCACAGCCCAGTTTTATGATATTAAGAAGAAACAAATTTATGTAAGGAGGAGATAACAAAATTATTTAAGAAGCAAGTACCTAAACATACTTGAGACCAGCATCCCCACAAATATAATATTAACTGGCAACCAGACCTTGATTAATCTCCATGTAAGTGGTTCCGTTGTAATTATTCCAAGGAGACTCAAAATGGAAACAACAACTACTGATACAAAATTCTGCAAGAATGAACAAATTATTTTATCAGTCATTTAGAACAAAGAATTTTTTTGAATTAGCTGATCATAATAAAATTCAGTGTGAGAAAATGGCAGCCGGAAATTTATTAATCCTGGCTACAAACTAAAGATTATTATGTTACAAAGAGTAACCTGGTAAAGCATCAATGATATGGCAGCATTAAAGCCATAACTGGAGAGGACATACTTGTTGACCAATATCATGCTACACGAGGACAAACAATAGGAGAGACCGGATAACAAGGCCTGATTGTGTACTGTAAGTCCTCTTTTATTTCTTAGAGACTTTTCCAGGTCCTTTTCGAACCTCCCATTCTCTACATCTGTGTCGGCTTTATTAATTTGATTCTTCATCCCTGAAAAAGCTCTGCACAGATGCAGCACATTAGTCAACTACTAACACACACACACACATAGAGAGAGAGAGAGAGAGGGAGAGAGAGAGAGACATATATGTATATATTATCATGGGCCACATCTGTATTAAGTTAATTACATCGATCGCCAAAATGGAAAATTTATAGTGAATCTCAAAGATGAGTTTCAATAAGAAGCTTTGCAAAAGATACCAGATAAAATAACTAATTACTAAGACGAAAGAATGTCAAAATGCTTATTATGCAAACTAGACAAATCTATGAATTCTGTCACACTGATTGGGCATACGGAGGAAATTCTAATTAGCATGTCTTCAGTAGACATAAATCTGATTTCATGGCTGACAATATCCCACTTTAACATCTCAACTCACTAACCACAAAGTCCCAACTCATTGAAAACGCATCAATTTAGGATTTGAGAACTATGCAACAGAAGATGTTTCGAAAGTGGTTAGCTATTAAAATCCAGTCGCTTTTATTTCCATTTTGAGTTGGGCTTTGAGGTGGGAATTTAAAGGGAAAAAGGAAAGTAAACAGCTCAAGGTATTGGTTAAGCTTCCAATATCCCCAATTCCCACAATTGGCAGTGTTTTCTTTAAGAACCAAATTGCACTTTTGATCCTCACTTGATTGTTCTATCTATTTGCAAGTACGAAGTTTCCTACCGTGATTTCAAACTGGATCTTTAAGACTCAACCATGTCCAGAAGAGATGAGGAAAAGCTGGTAAATAGGAGAGAAACATCTTAACATGTTCTATATTTATAGAAAATGAAGAGGAAACAGAACACCATACCTGCTAGATGTTTCTCTTCTGACTGGACTTGAGACCTGATCTACTGAGCCATTGAAAAGGCTTCTATCTCCATTCGAGGAATCCATAACATTATCCAAAGGTCATATTGCTCTTTGAAAAATAGAATCAAGAAAGTTCTAGAAGAGAACGTAACTATGATGCTCTACCAAATGCAACACCCGATTCCGTATCTGCTGCAGATTGTGGAGTATAAATTACAAAGTCAGTAGGTTTGAAGTTGGAGGATCATTTAAAACGACTTTCATAAAAGGAAGCACAAATAAATGACATGATTTTGCTGCAAATAAATGAGAATCTCTAGAGTTAGGCGCTACAAATGCATGACCAACAAATTAAAGGAATACGTGCAGGACAGGCCAACTGTGGTTTACTAGGCTAGCCAATTCAGCTATATGGATCTTCTAATCAAATTGCAAACTTTACTTATAATAAGAATGATTTGGCCATGGATTTTCTATTTTCACCAGACTCAAGCATCAAAGCTGAAGTTCTTACTACTGTAGGTACTAAAAGCACTCAGGAGGATTTTTTGTTGCCAAATGTTATAAATAAATTCTCAACACAAAGAAAACCTACTAATACAGATTGACAATAAATATTTTTTTATTCTTTCAATCTTGGAAACAATGAATCCTTCGGTCCGTGACACTAAAAAAGCATTTGGGGACCAAAATCAAGACATAAGAATTGACATTTCATAAAAATAAATCCATTTTTTATTCACATGACCC